AATTAAAAAAAAATCATGTGGAAATATTTTAATTTTTCCTGGACAGTTTCAAATTTTTACGGAAAAATGTTGGAGTTTGAAAGCCTTAAGCAGGGTTCGAATAAACACCTGCTCGACGACCAAAGAGCGGAGGATGCACCCAGACGTCAACGTACAGGCCGCCAGTTCCACACGGCTGCGTAGCGGGTTGGCCTACCCACCGCGCTGCAGGCGCTATCCTAGCGTGTCGTTCACGAGGGTCATTACAAAGCCCGGGTAAGTGGGGGTGGGGGGGCGCCGTCATAGGTAGGCCTACCGGAAGGATCTGGACGGGGCGCTTGAGGCGGCGGATCTCCTGGAAGTGCGTGCTGTAGTGGTCGTCGCGGTTGAGCTCGGGCAGCTCGCGGCCGGCGCGGACGTGGCGCGTCACGACCCGCACGCCCGTCAGGTGGGTGTGCAGCTGCGACCCGAACACGAGCACGCCGCCGGCGGGGACGCCCTGCCGACAGAGAAGGTGGCCGCGTCAGCGCCAGGATGCCGCCGAGCTCGGGCGGGCCGGACAGGCCAAGGAGGCAGGTAGGTACTACTTGCCGACTCGGTACACTCGGCGATGCAGAAGCCGGTCAGCTGGAAGCGCGGCTGCCCCGGTGGAATGGCCATCTTGTCCGTGTACTCCAGGCCCAGCTCCATGACCCCGCCGTCGTTCGGCCGCAGCGTCGGGCTCACCGTCAGCCGGATGCCGGAGCTGTCCACCCAGCCTGTCGCAGCAGCGGTCAGGGGAGAGTCACTCACTTACTACTAGCCAGAGCGCTAAACGAACATACCTGCTGCCTTACCCTCCTCACGCCGACTTACCAGACTTGTTCTCCGGGTTGTTGTAATGCACCTCCAGCATGATGTAAGGGTTAAAGTCGGCCCCTCCGATTGGCAGACCAGCCTCCTGTACCAACATTGTAGGAATTAAAAATGTATTAGATTTTAAAGAAATTAAAAAGAACAAACAAAATATAGCGAGCACCTTTGTCTCCGGGCCTCGCTCGTGCCTACCTTGGGGTAGATGAAGGGCTTGGCCCCCATGGCCCAGGCCGCCAGCACCCGCTTGCATACTCTGGTGCTGTCGGGCCGGTCCGTGGCGAAGCACGGCCCACGGTACAGCGGCATGTACTCCGCGACGGCGGCCTCGCAGTGAAACACCTCCATGTGGTGCACCAGGCCCTCGTTACCGCGCTGCACCATCGCCTCGTACTGGAACCGGAAGGCTCACATAATCAATCTCTCTCTCTCTCTCTCTCTCTCTCTCTCTCTCTCTCTCTCTCTCTCCTTCTCTCTCTCCCCCCCCTCTCTCTCTCCCTCTCCATCCATCCCTCACCTTGACGACGTGGTGCTTCCGGGTGAGCTGGCGCGGCACCTTGGTCACGTGGCACCAGTACGTCGTATCCACGGCGGGCACCTGAACCCTGGCGGCGCGCACGTCGAGCGCCCACGCGTCCGCCGGCACGTGGTCGTCAACGTGGACGTTCTTGAGCAGCTGCGCCCGCTGCATGCCCCTCCGAGTGCCCTCGCCCAGGACCGACACGCCGTCCACCTTGAACAGTGGCCCATCCCCCGTCGCCCACACCACGTGGGTCGTGCCCTCCTGCAGATAAATTCAACGTCAACAATTCACACAATTATTTAACTCCTGTATTTGTCTGAAAGTTTTCACTCATAATTTTATCCAAATAATCTTACACTTTAGACTGAAAATATAT